TTGCTATTAGATTGCTATTAGATAACTACAAGATAATATTAGATTATATTTATATTATAATTATATTATAAATATATTGTATTAATTGTGTTAATAATGATTTAACAGAATTGTAAAAATATGTTTAAAGTATTATAATGATACTTTTAATATATGTTTATCATATATTTATTGTATTCTTTTATTAAAATATTTTTATTATATTTTTATCATATAATAGTTATATAACCATCATATGATAAGCATAAATAGCAAATTTCAAGTTTCTGCTAAGTAAGTGTAGAAATTAATAGTAATTGCATAATAGTTTTCATCACATTATATGCAGTTTGTCTAGATTTGTTATATACAGATATTGTCTAACGCAAAAACCTAAAAAATAAAATATTAATTTTTGCAATTATATAAGTATTAATACAATTAAATTCTTATATTAGATGATATCTTGTTCCATTTAGTTTTGTACATTAAATTCAAATAAGTTCTTAAAAAATAGGATGAAGGTCTGCAATATTTGTAGTTTTATTTGTTACATTTTTGGTAACTATATAAACAACATCTGTAATCTCATTTGACACCTCCTCTTCTTCTTTTTTAATTTTTTTTTGCAATTGATCTTTTAAATTCATGATTGTTTTAGTTTGTTCCTTAATAGTTTTTCATTGTTAATTAACTTTTTCTTAAAGAATCTTCTTTGATGCATGTATTGTTTTTATTAAATTTACTTCAGTCAAAATCTGTTGTTGAATTTGTTGCATAGTTTTTCTTAATTTTTTACAATTTTTACAAATATTTCTATTTTTTATATTCTCTATAATAAGTATATAGTCTATACATCGGTATGCTTCATTAAATTGGCCTTGATTTTCAAGAAAAGCAAAAGGTGTATGCTCATTCTGAGAATTTCATTTATTATTAATCAATTGAGTTCTATGAATATGCATTATATTTTCAAATCCTAATATTTAAAAAATATATTTAATAATACAAAAAATAAAATAATCAAATTCTTATTATGCTTACTTTTAATACTTTGTCCTTGGCAAATATTCAAATTATATATATATTCAATAATATTTTTTACTTCATTATAAGTTCTTTTAATTGCTTTAATTAGAAAAGGAAGATATACTTCTTTTACAAGTTAATTATGAACAAAAATCTCATATATGATTAAAATTTCTAATTAATTGTTTTTCTATTTGTTGTTTTTTGAAAAAATAAATATTAAGGCATTTGTTTTGGTATCATATTGTGGTTTCAGAAAATTTTTCTTTTGGTTTAATCTTATTCTATATATATAAAAAAATATCTTTAATATTTATATTTGCTGTTAATTTCCAATATGATAAATATTCTGATGTGCATAAAATTGAAGCAATTGGTGAACTGGTAGGATTTGGTTCTAAAAAAATAGTTATAAGAGCTAATTGTTGTCCTTTGAATAATCCACATTTTTGCAATCTACTTATCCACTTAGAAAATGTTTTATATTTATAATCATTTATTAAACTATAGATATAGATTTTTTGTTTTTTTGCATCAAACATTAATATGCCTTCAAAATATCTATCTAATTTTGAAAAAAAATAAACTATTTTTCCTTTAAGATCAGGACAAATTTGAATAAGTTCTTGAAGTGCTTCAGTTTTTTTCTGTCACTTTAAAGAAAAAGATATATTCTTACAAGAATATTTCTTTAAAATTAATATAGATATATATTAAGAATATATTTAATAAAGAGATAATTTATATATTGTATATGCAACATTGTTGTCCTATAAGATTAGGTGTAATGTAAATTAAAACAACTAAAATAACCTGAATTATTTCATATAGTTAGGATTAGGGTTAGGTTGGATTAGATTACAGATAAAGATAAAGCCCTATAGTAAAATTTTGCAAGAAATTTTTTTGTTAGAGTACAAAAAATAATTTCATATGCGAAATTTTGAGTTATAGATGATTTTTGCAAAATGAACATTTGTTTTGAATTTTTTGATTGTGTAATATTACACCTGATCTTGAAATTTGATTAGAAGAGTGACATATAAAGTGCATTACATGATGCAATAAATAAATTTACTCTTTAATAAATATTTATATATTTACAGTATTACTTATTATTTTTATATTTCTTTTGTGATTTAGAAGTAACAAGAAGCTGATATATTTTTTCTAAATATCTTTAAAAATAATTTTTCTAAAAATTATATAAAAATATAGTTTTAATTTTATTGAGTTAGATTTTTTTTTAATATATTATAATTAAAACTTTATAATTTTTTATATATATAAGAAAATCTTAAACTTTTTTATTATTATATTGTTTAAATATAAATTTAATATAAGCGTCAGTTTAATTTTTATATAGTCTACTTGTGTAATATTAAGTTGGTTTCTCGTTAATTTTACTATCCTCTAGTCACTATCATACTAACATTTACACTGATAAATCTATTTTAGATTATGGTGTCAAAAGCTTTTAACCAATGTATCGTAAAAATTTATTAAATAATTAGACTTTTATTATTAAGCAAAAAAGATTGGGCTTTAAATATTACATCTAATCAATCAAACAGATTAATTTTCAAAAATTGACAAATTTCTTGGTTTCTACTTTTGACGTTCTATATGTGGATTTTAGCAAAGCTTATATTTTAAAATTTGGATCACAAATTTCAGTATCAGCTAATTTTAGCATCAGCTACAACAATTATTATTAGTTAGAGTTAGAGTTCAAGCTAGTATTAGGATTAGAGTTAGAAAATATAAATATATACAAATTAAGTATTAAAAATTTTTTTTTTATAATTTAGTTGTTTTGCCTTTGTTTATTTCGATTTAGTTATATCTGAAGTTCTAAAACTTCTACAATATTAACAATCTAATCTACAACAAAGCTTACTCAAGCAAACATCCAGATGTGATCTGTTTTAGTAGTTATTGGCCTTCTTCTGGTCTGAAACTTACTAAGGATTTTTTTCTATTAGTCATAAGCTGATAACTATATACTCATTAACTATTATACTAATACTACAGAAACTTAGTCTTAACATGAAAATCTAAGCTACAAGTAGAAAAACATAAAAAAAAACAAAATTTAACTAAAATGCATATTAATCTGTATGTAAGGTTAAAAATTATATACTACATAACTACAAAATATAAAATACAGTTTAATCTCTCTATAGTCACACCCTCAGTTTTAAGAAATTTTGTGTTTATAAAAAATTGTGTCTGTATTATATATGCCACCGAAATAGGTTTTCAAAAAACACCTATTTCGTCTCCATTAGAGCAATTTGAAATTTTTTATATGCAATAACAAATTTAATTTAGGTAGTTAGGGAAGAGACAGAAATCAGGTGATTTCAAGTTACTAAGAAGCTATACCTCTACTCCCCTAAAAAATCAGCTGATTTCTGTCCCTCGCCTTATGTTCTTTATAATTTCATCTCTTCAAAAAAAGTGTCAAAAAATTTCATCTTTTAAGTAAAATAGATCAAAAACAATTTCGTCTTCAAATTTTAATTTTGTATCCTGAAACCTAAAATAATTTCATCGGCATGTATAGTCTGTATAGATTAAATCTCTTATATTTATATATGTTTGTTCTAAAAATTAATATGTTTATAAAGAGGATATAACTATATAGTATGTGATTATATAAAGGACAAACTGTATATCTCTAATTTATATATTTATTTAAAAACTATTCTATTTCTATTTAAACTATAAACAAAAAGCTTCTAGAAAATTCTACATTTGTTTATAAGAATTTGATATGATAGGTTGAACCTTATCTTCTTGCTTTAGTTTTATAATATATTTTATATATATTTGTTATAGTTCTCGTAATTATGCTGCATTTAAACTTCCTAATATAAAATGTAAACAATGCTAATTTTCTGATAAAAGTAAATCAAAATCTCTACTTATTAAAAAAAATACTAATACAAAGTGTAAACAAAAGAAAGAAGATATTTATTGTAAAATATTAACTAAGGAAAATATTTTTGTATTGTTTATCTTGTCATTTTGTCTTTTCTACTTATTTTTCTTTATACTTGCTGTTTTTTTTTATTATTATTATTTTTTTTTTTAATATTCGCAATGTCATGTGAAGGTAAATTTTTATTAGGTATTTTAGATAGTACATTCTTGGTTAACAAGAGTATATGTAGCCACATATACAACTTTTGGTTGACTATTTAAATAGTACACCTGAAGGTTTTACACTATATGCTATATCTGTAACACAACTAGGAGATTATCTATTTAAACTCTCTGATGTCCCCTATCCTGTACTATCCACCACAATCATACCAGTATATAGCCTCATGCTGCTTCTTATTGAAGACCACTCAGATCAACATCTGCTATACTACTTGTGTCCTAATTCTATAAATAACCTAGTAGAGTTCTTATACTATCAGGTTGCTCTAAGAAGTGTATAGTACATACCCCTCTAATTTTTCCATATTCTATGTATTTTAGATTAGATTATGAATATCTTTCGCAGTAGCTGAAACTACTACTAGCAGTTAGGACTAACCATTAAATTGCACAATTCCAATATTCAGTGCTTTTGCAAAGTTTGTTTTAATTCTGATATCTACATTAAGCTAGTCCTTATACTGATTCCTCCCCAACTACCAAACCAATTAGCCCAAATAGGTTATTATACCTAGACTTTAAATGCTTTTTAGTTTTACTTCTCTTGGTTTCTAATTTCATAGCATAGTACTTTTTCTATTGGTGTAATTCTAGTAGCAAAATTGATAGTTCCTTCTTGCTTCAGAGTTTTCGTCTAGTTCTTTAGTCTTCAGTTTCTGACTTTTTCACAATATTGTCAAAGATCTTCATTACCTCTTTACTCAGGTCTTGCTAAACAGATTTCAATTATTCCAGTTCCTTGGATTTAGATCGCCCAAGAGCTTTTATTTTGAAATTGTAATACCAAGATTACAGATGATATACTCAACCAATTATCAAATAATTGTTACTGATATATAGGCCTATTTTTCTAAAAATGTCTCCGGTAAGATTTGAACTTTAGAACTGCTGCTTTGGAGATAACAACTTAACTACTACTCTAAGTTGCCATACTCTTTTACTTGCTGTTTCTAAAGACTCTTTTAGTTTGAATACCAAATGCAAAGAAGAGTTTACCCAAAGATTAGCTAGAAAAAAAATGCTTATATCTTGATATATTATATTAAAAAATTTTATTGATAACAGTTTATATACAAAAAATATACTGTAGATAGTTTAGACTTCTGGGTTTTAAGTTTTTAACTTGTGATTAGAAAAAAGTTAGTCTAAATGATTATCAAGAAAATTATTATAAAATAGTCAAATAAGTATTGAAAACTTTTAATAGACAAATCATAAGTTATTTAAACAAATTTTTTTTTATATATATAAATTTTATTATAAGCTTGAAAGTGAAGTATGCTTGTTTAAAACTTTTTTTCTTACTAAGTAAATCACTTTTGGGCTTCTAACAAAGTTGTAAAGCTTATTAAAAGGCATCAATAATAGCATATCTGGAATGTGTGTCAGGTTTGTATTGCATATTACCTAAACTATGAATCAGATTTTAAGATCTGGTATAATATAATACAATCTGAAAAATTCAAAACAAATGTTCACTTTGTCAAAAATCACCTATTTCTCGAAAATTTGTATAAGAAACCAGCTTTAGTGCTCTAACAAAAAGTTTTTCTCAAGTGATTTTGTATATATCTATCCG